CCTAAACCCCTAAACCTTAAACAATCAACCTATGATATTGAGCCTGCCGGGTGCTTTGCACCTGGACATTGGTCTTTCCGGGTAGGAGCCTTGGGTTCAACCTTACTGGAGTAGTATTTTACTTGGGGATACTACGGTACCCAATATAGAGTAAGATTATATCGTCCTTTTGGGGTATAGTATTTTATATAAGGAATGTAATCGTACTAGGTTTAACCACCAAAAAACACTAGTCACTTGAGCTATAGTCTAAACTCCTTACAGGGGGAGTATTATAGGGGTTGTTACTTAAGGGGGATACTAGGAGTTTAGACTATAGCTTTTAGGGATTACAAAGAGGGATGGCAGGAGTTTAGACTATAGCATATTAGGGGTTTAAACTATAGCCTATTGGGTGTTCTTGAGGGGGATGCTAGGAGTTCAGACTATAGCTTATAGGGATTATCAAGGGGCATACTAGGAGTTTAGACTATAGCTCACTTGTGCTTGTTCAGGGAAGGTCTTTTTGACGGTCCTGCAAACAATCCTGGCCACAACAGCGGACAAAGGGCTAAAGCAGGATCTAGACAGAGGTTGCCAGAAGTTCTGAAGCAACTGAAAGTCAGTGGATGGCAGGCTTGGTTTAGGGTTTAGGAGTTTGGGTTCAGGAAAGACATAAAGAGTGAACATGACCCCTGATTGTCGTTCATCAGGAGATAGTAACCATGAGGGTGTGTCATTTCATCAAATTGCAAGCCAGCGCCAGCTACCCAGAAAGTCCAATACCCCTTAATTGGGGAATACACTTCAAGTCATATTCGGGATCCCTAATATGATTTAGGGTATTTTCCCTAGACTTCCTGGCTACATTATGACCAAATCCCATGCCTGAGCCATACGATGTCATATGAGATCAGGACTGCTCAAGTTTCCTTTCGAGTTTGTTCCGCTTCAATTTGATCCCATCCTTGCGTGTTCTGCTATGTAAAATCAAACCCTAAACCCCTAAACCCTAAACCCCCCAACTGAAGCATCCCAAGCATCCCAGCTTTCAAGAAGCCTCCTAGCAGGTGCCCATGAAGGCGTCACGCCCTCAGCCTACCGGCAGGGGTTTAGGGGTTTAGGGTAGGGGCTGTTACACCTTGCTTAGAGGCCCTGGAGTCTACCTCTATCTAGGCATTTCACCAAAGAGTCTCTTATAGAATGCCCAACAAGAATCTCCGCACAATGCCCGCAATATCCCCATATACGTACACATATGTACATACGTGTACATCTATATGTGTAGACATATACTTACATATGTATGAATATATATATATGCATATCTATACATATCTGTGTGCGTGTGTGTGCGCGTGTGTGTGTTTATTGCTTTAGGATCCCTAGCGTGCCCTGTTTGTAAGATACTCCCTTTTGCATAAGGATAAGGCATCCAAAGGTATAGCCAGCTCATCTCAGGCTAGCCTGTACCTGAACCCCAAAAGTATGTAGAATAATGGCGTGCTTGGCAATTTTTAGGGGATTTGGGCTTTTGTTTTCCTTACTTTTGGGGTTTAGGTAGGGGAGTGGGTGTAAATCCCACACCACTGAGTCAACAGCCGACAGCTCGGAGGTTCATGGGTAAGATTTAGGGTTATGGTTTAGGGGTTAGGGTTTAAGGTTTAGGGTTTAGGGTTTAAGGTTTAGGGTTTAGGGTTGAAGGTTTAGGGTTTAGGGTTTAGGGTTTAGGGTAAGAAGGAGATTCACAACTAGGTAAGCTTCAGAGAAAGCTTTGCTTGTATGATGTGTTGGCCTACTTATGTTTACCCATGAACCTCCAAGTACCGTGCGGCAATATGCAAAGGGTCACATTTCCCCTCTAAAGATTGCATGGTGAGATTGTTTTTCAATTTCTCTCCTCCGCCCAAGTTGGTATACTTGAATAATCTGTTCCTTCTAGTATTCAGCCTCCTCCAAAATTAAAAAGGGGACCCAAGAATTCCAAATTCTGAAACCTGCCCCCAAGACAACTTTGAAAAGGCAGAGACTAAAGTTAATTATAGCTCGGCTTCTCTGAATTGGGGGGGGGGGGTCCCTAGCACGACTCTTGAGGATTAGCAGTCTCCTTGATTGTGATTGTTTTTGAATGGTTTGTGAAAGTAACATACAACCTCAATGCCACTTTGATTGGGCTTATTACGATGTTAAATACGTTTTTGTGTTCTAGTCAGCTTTTACTTTGATGTCACCTGGTTTTCATCAGGTTCCAACTAGGTTTTTAATCAGGTAGGTTTGAGATAGATGTTAACTAATTGGTATGAGTGTGTTTTGAAATGGATGTTCGGCTGGTTTTGTTCAGATTTTAACGTTAGATTTCAAGGCCTTTTAATGCGACTTCAGGTTGGTGAAATCAACTGAGTTTGTTACGAGTTGATTTTGATGTTCAATGCGCTTTAATCCGGCTCTATTCCATTTAGCCGACTTCTATTCCGGTTTATAATCTTATTAGCATCCTATTAGTTTAGCTACTTGTCGATTTCAATAGGATTCTAATTTTTAACCCCCCCCCTCTAATATCAAATACAGGCAATATACATTGGGCGGGGGACTTTACTTTAGGGGGCAGGACTAATCCCCTCCCCTAATAGTACCCTCTAACATGGTACGATTATGTACTAGGAGGACCCCCACCCAGTAATAGTGGTGTAGTAGAAACAAAAAAAGAGGGCCTTAGTATAATCACCATTATCCCTTATAGTCAGTAGAGTATTATTGGGTAGGGGGGTCCGCCTAAGGGATACGTATTTTTAGCCCCTGAACCCTAAACCTTAGGAATGTAGGGTTCATGCGTATTATTAACCTTAAACCCTAAATCCTAAACCCTAAGCCCTAAACCCTAAACCTTAGAATTAGGGCGGGTGGGGGATCCTAGAAGGATTGGGCCCTCTGGGCAGCTGAGGCCGCCAAAGCGAGACGCTGCCGGTGGACCACTGGCTGAGGCGCAGCTTGAGGTTTAGAAGGTTTGGGTTTAGGGTT